AGAATGAAAGTATTTTTCACAAATTGAGGTATATTTTGCAGTTAAAATTCCTTACTGAAGCTTTATTTTAAAGTCAGAATATTCTTTGATAGTGGAGCCAGAACATCTACATCATACATTGAAATGATACTGTTTCAACAGAACATTTGTCCTATATATATTGTTTTGACTAGGACAAATGTTTTGTTGAAACTGTGTGTGTATATATCTACATATACACACTATACAGAATATGAAACTGTATATATATTAAATACATATATATGCATATATATATATGTGTGTGTGTGTTAATAAAATCACTACATTTGGGGGACAAACTTCTGTAAGAATTTTTTATCCCCTGGCATGCCAAGTAAAAGAAGAAATAGGAGCTCAAGTTACTTTAGAATGGGGCTGATTACATTAGTCACCTCCAGCAATTTACAAATTGAGTTCCATATGTTCACACATACAATTAATTTAGATAAAACACTTTTGTTAGTTGTTTCATGTTCATGACATTCACATTGATTAAAGTAAATAAAATACATCTATATTTCTGAAGTAACCATTTATTTCTTTGTTGTTGGCTGTACATGTATCTCATCTTGCAGTTGCCATTATTTTATCTTCATCTGCATTTTTAAACTGTTTTCATTACCTTAGAAACATATTGTATGGGAACTGCTGAGTCACGGCCTGAACCTCTGATTGATCACCTGAGGTGAGCCATGAGTCAGCCAGAGGAGCACAGCTGAAGGCAATTCACCTGTGCTGCAGGAAGGGTGGAGCCTGGCCACCCCTCGTAGACCTATTTAAGAGCTGGCTACCAGTGGGGAAGGGTCTTTTCTGGAGATCACCTCTCTTGGTGTTTTGTGGTGAGCCTAGCCGAAGGGTAAGCTCTTCCACTTATTCTCTTTTTGTTATCGTTGTCTACTTTGCATAACTCTCTTGATTATATTGTGATTATAACATCTTGATATCTATTGATTATACACATATTAAAGATTGCAGTTGATTCCCTCAGTACTGGGGACAAAGCTTCCCAGACAATCAGATGAATATGCCAGTATGAACTAATGTTGCAGTTCATAGTCTCAATTGAAGGTTTTCCTTTTTTTTTTTTTTTTTTTTTTTTTTTTATGGGAATGGTGATTGCTTCTTTAAGATAAAAGAATAAAGATAATAATACAACTCATAGTTTTGTAAAATATTGCAAAAATGACTTATGTTGCAGAATAATTTCAACAGGAATATCAAGGGAGAATAGTGGCTATTCTCCAAATTAGGAAATTAAGTAGTAATAATATTTTTAAACCCTCAAGGATTTTTAGCTCTCTGCTTGTCTTTAATAATAGTCCATTATATAGTACTTACATACATTATTTTATCCCAAATAATATACCTTCAAGCTATGTTGCTGTTTTCCTGGATATGTAATGGTCTGAGTAATTTTTTGCAGGAAAAAAAATTATCATCCTTCCTCATCTCTATCTCCCATTGCCCTCGTACAATCTATTCTTTTCTCAACCTGTTTGCACTGAATGGTAGTGTAGGAACAGTCTTTTCTTACTTAGCATTTTTGTGTATGTGTTTAAAAGTACATCTGCTTGCTGGTTCGTTGGTTGAGTCTTGTTTGTTTGTTTGCATCTGCTGTTGCTTTTTAACCAATGTAAACTGTCAGAGTAGTATTTTGTTTCTCCTTATAAATCAAAATATTTTCTGTTTTTCTTTTTCCCTAGATGTAGTCAGTGCTCTTCAGTATTTTCTGAGAGTTGCTGTGTGCCCACAGGGATGCCTGCATCATTCCCAGTGATGATGCATGAGAAGAAAAAACAGTTGAGAGTTTTAGGTCTGCTGAGTTTGAGAAATTTGGAAATACATTTGTCTTTCAACTGGGCACTTTCTTTAAAGTGAGTCATTGAAGGACTAATCACGAAGCCCCAAAAGAGCATGTTTTGTCACTTTGTAAAATAGAATAGCACTACGTATTCACTTAATGAGTGAATTTGGTTGATAGCAAAGATTCTTCTGTTCCTTGCTTCCATCCTTCCTTCCTCTTCTCTTCATTTGGCCTATTCTTGGGTTGTACCTGCATCTCAGAAATACTGAACATGTATGTAGAAAAAAAGACTACTGATAATCCATCCTTCATCACTACCATCGTCATAAAGACTTTCTCACTTTGTGTTCATGATCACTTTTACTACTCGCACCTGTTTTATACAGCTGAGCTGTTTGATGGTGATAAAATATGTCAGCATATGCTGAGCACGGTTACTGAGTGTGTCGTTTCTTTAAAGCTGTTTTTTTTTTTTGTTTTGTTGTTGGTTTTTTTTCACCCTGGAAAGCAGTTAAAACTTCTACAAAAAAGGTATTTTCAATGTAGTGTAGTGTCATAAGATCCTTAAAGGTAAAGGTTGGACTGCTTGGATTAATAATCAAGCTTTCCTGATTGTGACTCTGGACAACGAAGTAATTCCTGATTCTTTCAGATATTTTTTGCTGACATTGCTTCAGGATATGATCATCTTGTCTGATAAAGAGAAAAGTTGGTTGCCTATTTCGTTAACAAAATCAATTAGAGAAATAATCAAGGAATGACTCACTTCTGAAAATGAAAATTAGTCTTCTAAGCAACATAAACGCTCTTGTACCTTCTAGTAGCCAGATTGCCCATTGATCTCATGATCTGTGGATCACTGTATCTCTTAGATACGTGCACACCTCCAAGGAACTTCTAGATATTTAACTCTGGATGCAACAATGAACTTCCCCATTTTCCCCCGTCTTTGCATTTTCTTGGTGTTTCAGAATTTATCAGCTAAACTTGTGTAATTATCACTCAGAGGATCATATTCTTATAAAAAGAGCTGCATCTCTGGATTTTTACTGGTGTTGGATCATCTTAGTCATCTGACTATAATTTCCATCTGTGCATCTTTTCATGTTCTTACTGATTTTTAGAAAGCCAAGAAAAATTATGTGACTAGCCTCCCAGCTGAATCATTGTATTTTATGCTGAATATAAATGCTGTCACAGGAAATGCAAGATACTAACTCAGGTCTTTTTGAATGATTGAAGGAAGAAGAGGATTTGTAAACAGTTTGCAATGTAATCATGGAATCTTTATCCAGATACTTTTATTATTTAATGATGATAATTTTTTATTAAAAATTCGTGATGATTTTTGTGGTTTTGTTTTGTGTTTCTTTTCTACTTGGTTTTGTGACTAAGGAGATTGTCTTAATGTAAATTATGTTTTGCAGAAATTGTCAAGGTGTGGTAGTTTTTATGCCTCATTGTTACTATTTAATGTTCCATATGTGTTAATAATTATGCATCTTGTTATGAAAAATGGTTCATACGTATTTTCAGAGAAGAAGTAAAATGGATTGTATTAATTTAAGTGTAAACTGGACTTGGTTTAGTTGTTCAGCCACATCAAAAACAAAAAAGCCATAATGAAATCATGAAAATTTGAAGAGGTTTTAATATTTTTAAATAGGATTAAATGTTACATTTTCCCCTTATGGTGATGACCCATACCCTGATAGAACATTGCAGGACTGGTAGCGAAAATGTAACAGTGTATATATTTGGCACTGGCAGCAAAAAGATTTAAAAAATCATTTTGTTTAATCTTAGACAAATAGAGAGAAATTTTATTTTTTCCTCTTGTTTTTCTGTCAGCTTAAAATGAATAAACAATGCCCTTTTAAAAGCATGACTCATTCAAAAGTACACCTTAAATGAGGAATTGTTCATTTAATTGAAGTAATTCCTTTGCCAGGCTTTGTATTGATGTGTACAAATTAATCTGTTTTCATTCACGGTACAAGACTTGTGATCATATAGTAGGATTTTCCTCAAGATAAAAATCTTCCTTTTGTTACCAGTTTGCACAGAGTGTTTTCTAATAATGTCTGTACTTAAACTGCGCCTGTTCTTTTGTAACTGCATTTTGTATTTCCAGTGTGCTAAATTTGTATGCGTGGCATATACAGCAGAAGCACTCAAAAAAAAAAAAAAAAAAAAAAAAAAAAAAAATTACTAAGAGTCATTTTTAAAGTCACATGCAGAGGAGGTGAAGGAAAAAAAGAACAAAGGCACATCAGAATACATCTAGGAGGAGGAATATTTCGTTTTATTTATCTCCTAGAAAACCTACATTAACAAGGGTATGCCAAAAAAAAACCCCACAAATCCAACAAGACAATTCTGGTACTAGCTACACACACTTGTTATCTTTCATTATTGATACTGTATGAAGAGATTCCATCTAAAGTAAAATACAGTAATAGAAGGCAGCTGTACATGTAATAGAAAAACCACAAGCATATTGTAATTCACATGACGAGAGCTGAAACTGAAACTAGATCATCTTGAAGGTCTCTTCCATACCAAGGTCATTCTATGGGTCATTCTATGAAATTTAACATCTAAAAACTTTGATTTCTAAGGGGGCATGGAGTGGGTCTCAGAATATGAAGCAGAAATTTTGGAAGGCTTTCTCTGGTGCATAACATTGGCACTTGTTGAATCTTTCATTTCTTGTGTAAAAGCACAAAACCACAATCACAATTCTAGAATTGAATATTTGAAGACTGTTTCCTGGTGAACGGGGTGAAAAATGCAAAGTCCAATGACAACATGTACCCTTTTGAACGAGTGGTTTAATTATCGCTCATTCTTTGCTTGTCTTTTTCAAAGATGCAGTGTCGGACTTGGTTTACTGTTTTGCTGTGTTTGTTTTTTTTCAGTGTCAGGACTTCAAAATTACACCCAAAAATTTACTTTTCTAGTTTTGTTGCAGTAGCCTACTTTGGGACTACTTGTGCTTTCAGCACGCTCAGGGGATATTGCTGCTTTCTAAAAAGCATTTAAATTGATATTACAGTAAAAGATAATTACTGAAGTTGATATTGGTTCTTGATTATTTGACCAGTTTCTCTTCTAAGTGACATAAACAACTAAATTATGGCAAAACTGTAATTTGAGTTAATTGTATTTTCAGATGTCTGAACAAAATGAATTTCATTACAAGGCTTTCTGCTTTGTGTCTGAGAAAAAAAAGCAATATGCAGCAAAGGCACCAGAGAAGTCGGCGGCCAGCTGTTCCACTTGGATCACGGATTTTAACTGACCCTTCGAAAGTTTTTGAGCATAACATGTGGTAAGATGTCTATGTAAGGATGATTTTCATATTTGTCTGTATATTATTTACTATAGTGAATAATGTATATTAATACATATGTTTTATATGCTGTTGTATGTATGTATATGTTTATACATATATAAACAAAACAGTAAACTAATTGATTTTGAAAGGTATTGCTAAAGAGGACTTCATATTGTCACAAACAGCCTTGACACTGAGTTTGCAGTGGCTCCTGTAGAAAGCTGAGTATGTAGTCATTTGATGAAAGTCAAAATAATTCTGAAATGAATTAGGAAACAGAAAGTGTAGAAGATAAGTAGTATATGTTTTAATGGCAGAAATTTACAAAAATGTTGCATAATGGATTAACATTGTATTCTACAACTGACACCATATCAAAAGGAACCTGTGTTTGTCTACAAGTGTATTGAAGATCTTACAGGTACTTCAGCAGAGATTGCATACAGTACATAACTGTTAAAAAACAGGAAAAAAAAACAACCAAAAAACCAGAAAAACGCAAATCATGATATAAATAATCAATATAATAGCAGAGAAAACATTAACATGTAAGTGTTAATAAGAGTAATAATTGCCCTGATAAGCAGCCGTGCATCTCCATTTTTAAAAGGTATTTTTATGATCAATGGGGGTGGCAGCAAACAGTGAGAATCCTGGTGAACACTGCTGGGAAACTGTCTTAGGGAATAAGACTGATAAGACTAGGAGTTTCCTCTGTGGAATGGAGATGAACAAGTTGAAATTATACAAAACTGTAAGTGGTAAAGAATTGTTAGAAGAATCTATCTAGAAAGTAGGAAAATGTCTTCCTATGATATCAGGAAAACCAGAAATTTTTAATCCTATAGTTCATGATTTAAGAACAAGGAATATTTGGTGAAAGGAGAAACGGGGCGTTTAAAGGTTACACAAGAAATCATTTTCTGCGTGGTTTTTAAATATATTTTGGATTCTGCCACATGATTTTTAAGAGCAAATATTTAGCAATATCTGAAAACAGACAATATGGCTAATGATAATGAAAAGCTAACGGATAACATAATACAGCGATAACAGACTACAAATTTTAGGGCTTAGATTTAAGGCATAAAAGAACTAAAAATTAAGTTACATGTATATCACTAATTATAGAACAGGAAGATACTTAATTGGTTTTAGAGACAGTGAACTCTTTTCAGGATAGATGTTAATCCTATTCTTAATTAAAAATGCATATTCCTCAGCCCAAGTGCAGTTGGAATTTTTATCTTAATCACTTCATTTGACTTTTACCTGTCTAATAATTGTTGTCAATCAGACACTGAAGCTTTTTTTTTTTTGTCATTTGCCTGTATTTTACAAGCAAATGTACAAAGGTATTTGAGACATTGCAGCTAATTTGTGATTGTTTTCCCCAGAAGATGATTGTGGAAACTCATATTTAAAGGCTGATTTTTTCATCTACCTTTTTTTGCAGGGACCACATGCAGTGGTCACAGGAAGAGGAGGAGCATGCCAAGGAAAAAGCAGCAGAGAACTCGCTTGTGAAAGTCCAATTGGAAGAACAAGGTAACAAATCCATAATTGCCTAAAAATCCAATTTTAGTACCAATTGTTAAAGCATTTAAGGATGCTTTGAAATCCAAGAGTACTCCTTTTATTTTTGTGTTCTCTGGTAAAGGATTGTCCTTAGGTGTGTTTTTCTACTAATTCACTTACTTAGTTGAGTGATTTTGCTTTTTGGAGGAGCAACAGTATATATGTAAAACAATAAAATTAGTTTGGTGTGGTTGCAAAGATAGACTCCTTTTGCAAAAGTTCTTCAGAATAAAATTCCTACTAAACAGACAGTTAACTTGACGAAGTAGGAGTGACTTTGCAGCCAGCTGAGGTGCTGGGAGTAAAAATTCCCATGTACAATATTCAAATCCTTTTAAATGATTTGTGAAGTGTTTAGAGAGTTAATGTTTGTACATGGCACTATGTTTCTATTAAGTGCCATGGAATTTACATTGATCGCAGCTGGCCCCAGCTTGCTGCATTGGCCAAACTGAGCAGAAGTAGTACTTCACTTTGTGTATTAGGTGGTCTAAAGCATCATATGGAGCCTGGCCTACAAATGCTTAAAGAATCTCATGCCTGTCTTTAGAGACAAAACTTAACATATTCTGCGTTTCTGAAGAACAATTGCTCTAGGGTCAAACTGGCAAACTAAACCTTAGACTGAATTCTCTAATAGTTATGTATGCTAAAGGTGGAGTATTAATTTGGTAGTAACCTAGAAGATTGAATTCTTAATTTGCTCCTTTATTATAAAGACATTCTGAAAACAATTACTTGGATGGGCAAAAGTTTACCTAGCATGTCTTGAACGTGTAGAATTAGTGTCACTATGACCCTGTTCTCAGTTTTATTGATACAACCAGTGCAAATGTTTGACTGTATGTGAATTACCTGCGAGTGCATTTTAGTGTGTGTGCCCTCCACCACTTTGAATACTGCACGATTGCCATCTGCCCTTTTCTGTTCTTGTGTCTCTCATTTTTTATCTTGATCCAGGAGTACAATGTTTGCTTTTCAAAACTGATATCTGGTATTTTCATTATTTTTGTATAAAGAGTTGAAAAAGAGATGATTAAAAAGTAAACTATGTAACCATGTAACTCATGGAATCTTTCATTCTTAACCTACAGTCATTTAGAACTTAGTTTGGGCTGGTGAGAAATGAAATAATCAGGCATTTGTCAAGAAATAAAAGAATCCAAGAACATTTTCCATGAATGCCTCTCTGTTTAGAATTTGAATAGGTGAGCGCTTCTGATACAGTTCCTTCAGAAAGTTTCAGCTTCATTCTGTAAATGGAAGTACCTTTTTGCCTGTTTGTGTTAACAATGAACTAGATGGAAGCTAATGAGCAGATTATTTTGGAGCCTTGGAAACTGCAGTAAGGGGAAAAAAAATATAGACTTCAACTATCTTGAAATCACTAAAATAGAATAGTTTTGGTGAGCCTTAGTAAAACAAGAGATGTTAAAATGAATGAACCCATGATCCTACTTTCAGGAATGTGATTGATGTATTAGCGTGTTCTATTTCTTCTTAGATCTGATTGTCAGTGTACGAAAAATATGTCAGAATAGATTCTGTTTTGGAGAAATATCAAATGGGTTAAGAAAGAGACTTTGGATGTTGCTGCCTCAAAAGGTTATAACTTAATTCGTTTATAGATTTTACGTGCCTTGGAAAATAGCAGTCAGGCTTCTTAAATATTCAAAAGGAGATAATGTGGAGGGAGCAACAACAAAAATAAGCCAGTGTGGTGACTGCCCTCTCTGCTTAATCTCTGAGATTAACAAAGCAAAGTAAATATTTCTCATCAAATTCATCAAGCCTATGATTTTAAATATTATCTTCTGTTGAATTCAGGAAAAAAAAATAATTACTGGAGTTGAAATAATGGCAGATTCTGCAACATCTTTAAATGTTTCTTGAACATATCCAGGGATGGTGACTCCATCACCTCTCTGGGCACCCCATTCCAGTGCCTGACCCCTCTCTTGGAGAAAAAGTATTTCTTAATGTCCAACCTGAATCTCCCCTGGTGCAAGTTGAAGCCATTCCCTCTAGTTGTATCACTAGTTATGTGGGAGGAGAGGCCAACCCCCCTGTATGGGAACTGCTGAGTCACAGCCTGAACCTCTGATTGATCACCTGAGGCGAGCCATGAGTCAGCCAGAGGAGCACAGGTGAAGGCAATTCACCTGTGCTCCTAGACCTATTTAAAAGCTGGCTACCAGTGGGGAAGGATCTCTTCTGGAGATCCCCTCTTCTGGTGTTTTTTGTAGGTGAGCCTAGCGTACAGGTAAGCCTTCCATTTATTCTCTCTTATTATCTTAGTCTGCTTTGCCTAACTCTCTTGTTCTTTTTGTGATTATAACATCTTAATATCCATTGATTATACACCCCCCCTCGCCACAACCTCCCTTCAGGTAATTGTAGAGGGCAATTAGATCACTCCTGAGCCTTCTCTGCTCTATACTAAACAATCCCAATTCCCTCAGCTGCTCCTCATAGGGCCTGTGGTCCAGACCCCACACCAGCTTCGTTACCCTTCTCTGAACATGCTCCAGGGTCTCCACATCTTTTTTGTAGAGAGGGGCCCAAAACTGAACAGTGCAGCCTCACTAAGGCTGAATGCAGAGGGATAATCACTTTTCTGCTCCTGCTGGCAACACAATTTCCGATACAAGCCAGGATGCCATCAGCCCTCTTGGCCACCTGGGCACACTGCTGGCTCATGTTCATCCCAGTGTTGACCAACACCCCCAGGTCTTTTTCCTCTACACAGTCTTCTAGCTACTCTGCCGCAACCCTGTGATGTTGTGTAGAGTTGTTGTGGCCAAAGCACAGGACCCGGCACTTGCTGAACCTCATTCCTTTGGCCTCAGCACACCAATCCAGCCTGTCCAAATCACTCTGTAGGGCCTTGCTACCCCCTGACAGGGTGCACTCAGTGCTCTCATCCAGGTTATCAGTAGAGATATTGAACAGGCCCCAGTACCGACCCTTGGGGAACACCAGTCATGACCAATTGCCAGCTGGATTTAACCACCACTCTCTGGGCCCAGCCATACAGCCAGTTCTTTACCCAGAAAGGAGTGTATCTGTCCAAGCCACGGGCTGCCAGCTTCTTCAGGAGAATACTGTGGGAGACAGTATTGAAGGCTTTGCTGAAGTCTAGGCAGACTACACCAACAGCCCTTCCTTCATCCATCGGGCAGGTCACTTAATCAGAGAAGATCAGGTTGGTTAAGCAAGACCTGCCTTTCATGAACCCATGCTCTCTAGGCTTGATCCCCCAGTAGTCCCTGGAGGTATTCAAGAAATGTTTAAATCATTTACTGAGGGAAGTTATTAAGTGGGAAATACTGGTGATAGGTAGATGGTTGGACTTAGGTTGATCCTAGAGGTCTTTTCCAACTTTGGTGATTTTGTGATTCTATGTCAGAAAAATTTATTAGTAATAATACTATGTGTGGCTATTACTCAGTGGTGCAGGAGTGACCAGTGAAAGAATGGGAAGAGTTCTTGTACTTGAATCCATGTGGTATCAAACTAATACAGTTTGAAAGGCAAACTTTAGAAAGTACTTTCCTTCCATTTTGAAATCTGGAACATTTCATGGGCATTTGAGTCCAAGGGTTCTGAAGAAACTTGCAGAAAGATAATAAATATTAAAGAGTGGTAATGAGTTAAGAATCTTTGTAGTAGATTATTTGTTTTTATATCGGAGCTGAGCAATCTTCATGAATGTGTAACGTACATTATTGAAATCTGGTATATATGACCTCAATCATCTCGGCACTTGAGATTATAAAACACATCTGTACAGTTGCTGTACTCTTTAATAATACATTTAGGTGTATTAAATGTTAAATTCTAAAAATTATTCCTATTTCTAGGACAAGGCATTCTGCCACCTCCTTGCCACTTCCCACTGCCTGTCTGTGCCTCTAGTGATAATTCTCAGCCTTGTTTATTTCTGAAAAGCTGTAGTGATCCAGGAAGTGGTATGTTAAGATTTAAATGAGAGTGGAAGAAATGCATCATCTATTTACTGTATGCATTTATATTAAAAGAATCAAGTGGTTGCTGTCAGTGAATGAGGAAGAAGTCAAAAAGGTAACATAATTCGACACACGCTTCATAAGAGGTGTCAAGGGTAACAAGAAACAATTCAGTAAATGCTTTGGGAATAAGGGGAGAAACAGGATAAAGATTTGGTTTGGCATTTAGCAGGAAGGAAAAATCATCAACCAAAGAGGCATTGAAAGAGCTCCAATTGTTATCTTTTTATCAGCCTTCCTGTAGGGCTAGCTGCAGTTCAGTTGCTAGTACAATTAGTGCTAGCCAGAAGATCATGTTCTACCTCTGAGAAAGAACAGGTTACAAAGTATATCCATAGCCCACACGGCAGACTAGAAAAGCAGAAAATAGAGTTGATTGGGGTTTTGTTTGTTTATTTACTTGTTTTATTAAGTGGAGGTAGAAAGAAAGACATGTCAGGAATTACTGTCTCAGTTTCTGGAAATAAAACTGGACGAGATAATCTAGAGGTAGCATGCACTAGATTTGAAAGAACCAAGGAGATAACTGGCCAACAATATTTTTTAAGACTAAAACATTTAAAATCAAGCTAATTTCATTCTTGGAGAAGGTTATGAGTCCTGGAGATAAGGAAAAACAGCAGATGTCATATAATTTATCCTTAGTCAGGCTTTGGACTACTCTGTGCTTGACATTTTCACAAACAAGTTAGGCAGGTGAAAGCTGATGAAACTTCTTTTGGGTGAATGAATGCTTAGAGTTCTTTTCAGATTGGAAGGCTGTGCTGGGCGCATTGTCATTTTGTTCTTTGTCTAGTACTGCTCAGTGATTTCATTAGTGACTTCAAGAATGGGGGACTTGAAGATGGTATTTAATGAAGAGGTCTTTCAAGTATGGTAAAGAATGGGATTAGGATTTAGAAATATCTTGACAAATTATAATTAAAAAAAGGATCTGGAAGATACAGTCACATTTTATAAAAATAAGTACAGAATACTTTGCTTAGGAGCAATCAGGGAGAGGGGGCAGATAAGTTCTGGAACAATTGGCAAGGTAGTCATTTTGCAGATCTGAGGGTTGTGGTGAGTCACCTGCTGAATCAGCAGTGTCGTGCTGTTGCAAAATGGCAAGCTGGGATTTATAAACAGGGTTACAGCTTGTAAGACTCATAAAATATTCCTTTTGCTTTGTGTTGTTAATGTCTTTAGCAGAATACAGCATCAAAAAGTAGATTAGTTGGAGAAGAAAAATCAAAATGATCAGAAGTCTAAAAATCTTTACTTCTATAGAGAAAAAAGAAGTTTAAATAATCTAGGGAAGAGATTACTATGTATTACTTTTTTTTTAAAAAAAAAAAAAAAGAAATCACATGAATGAAAGAGATGTTGATGGAGTAGTGAGTAATCTTTTCTCTGTCTGCTTGAAGAGATTCAGAAAGCCTCTGTGTCCTATACTAAGTGAGGTGAAATCTAATTAAAATGTCATGGAGTATTTTTCAGCACAAATCAAGTTGAGACCCCAAATTCATGTATTTTTATTTAGATATATACAGTATGGGAAAGTACCCTTTTAACAGTAAATTTGAGATCCAGATTTCGTGTTGCTTGATAGTATCTTGCAGCTAAGCTGATGGTCACCAAGTTCTTACTTTGTTTTAATTTCAGATAAGTATGAAAGAGAAGCCAGTAAATACTGGAATGAATTTTACAAGACTCACAAAAATAACTTCTTCAAAGATCGCAATTGGTTGTTCTTGGAATTTCCAGAAATCCTTCCAGAAAAAATGAGAGAACAGTTGAAAATAGAGGAAAGACCTTCAGAACACACAAAAATAAATATTACCAACAGTTTTTCACATGAGAAAGAAACGTTTGAGGAAAGAGAAAAGTATTGGAAGAAAAATACTGGAGATGAATCCACTTCTGAAAAAGGATATGTGTATAATAAAAAACAATCAAAATTGATTGCTGACAGCCCTCAGGGTAAAAACAACGAGGAAGAAGTTAATATGCAGGAATCCTTTCCTGGTGGCGGTGCCACTTACAGAATATTAGAGGTAATGCACTGCAAATGCTCTGTCCGTTGCATTCAGCTCCACCTACTTACTCAGAAGCCTGATAAAGATGCTTATTAACTATCAAGAAAGTAAACAGTTAGAATTGAACTACTACGTTCACTTAAGGCAGAAACTTTCAGAGCAACCCAGGACCTGAGCATTGCTTCCCGTTTAAAATTTCTTCCAAATCAGAATTGGGTGGTCAGATTCCATTTTCACTGGAAGTTGTTTCTTTTTCCTACTGAAAATTCTGTCTCAAAGTGCTTTGTTCTCCATACTTGGCAAATTCTTGCCAAATGGTAATGTTGGATAAAGCTATTGCATTTTCCTACGCAGTTTGGTTGCTGGAGTCTTTCCAAAGTTTGGAAAGAAGTTGAGGAGAAATGTGATCATAGCAGAAGTGATTTGAGAACTCTGGTATGAGCTATTTATACCTTTTCTGCCTTCAAGTCTAATGAGTCCTACCTACTAACTAATTTATGACAAAAAGGAATATGTTTTATTTGCTCATTTAACTTTTTGTGTGTGTGTGTCTTCTGATCTTAGGTTGGTTGTGGTGCTGGCAATAGCGTATTTCCTATTTTGAAAGTTCTATGGTATGTAGTGCTGTATTTTCAAATATTAAAGTTCTGTTTTTCTCCATTTTCTTCAAGTGTTGGTGCTAGGCTAGAGTGGCAGGAAGTGCTGACTGCATTGCTTTACAGCCCTGAAATTCTTAGTGCATGGAGACGACAGACAATGCTGCTAACATCAGTACAAGATACCCCATGCACTGCTCAGCCCCCAGTGTCGAAGGTGTCATGTCTGTTGACAAGTTTTTCTCTTCAGGAGCATTCAGGCTGACTTACTGTAGTTAATCACAGACAAATTAAATACCTTCCTGTACTTTATCTTATATGTTACTTTAAAGCTGTCTGATATTGCTTTAAAGAGCAAAAACCAGACAGTAAATAATAATTTGGTCTTCTGGTGATAAGTTGTTATTTGTTTTTCATTTGGTTGACATACTTAATCAAATTGCTTCAGGTTTTAGTGGCAAGGAAGGCACAAGTCCTGTATTGCAGTACTTAATTCTCTGAAACGTTTAAAGTGCTTAGCTTCTGGTTTTAGAAAGCACTATTATGACAGCATGTCCTCCCTTCCAGGTATGCAGGAAGGTTTTATTGAAAAGACTGGATATATATCATGGATTGAAATAGATTTCTTTTTATTCATACCTCCAGGAGGTCATGTACAGCATAGTTCATTATTCTGTAAATGATTTCTGATTGCTAGCATCACAACAATGAAAAAATCCTGCATTTTGCAGATATGAAAACAGAGAGCAGGAGGAATCAAGTGATACACTGGGGTCATAAATGAAACCTATTAGTGTCAGCAATGCATTTTCATCCCAAAACAAACACTTTGCTTTAGAGAGCATAGTCTGAAAGGGAAGCCCTGTATCATATGAGTATCTGTATTAAAAAAGATGAGACAAACTTTTGTGTTTTTCTTGTGGGAGGCATTAGTCATAGGTTGGCATTTCTGATTGTTAATTAATCCTGAAGACCTCTATTTCATGCAAATCCTTCAGTCAGCCATATTGGTAAGTACATCGAACAACATACACATTTATCTTGTGCATTACCTGATGGAATCATCTTTTGCTTCTTATCAAGTTTGGCTTTAAAGCATAGTTGAATTTTTTTTTAATTTAATAATATAAAAATTGTCTTTTGTATAAATAAAAAAAAGCTGGAGTATGTACCTTAGCTACAAAAATATTCCACTTAAGTTTGTAAAATAACTCTTATGCAGGTTTTTCATGCTCCCATAAAATTTAAGCTGCTTTTTAATACAAAGCAACATGAAATAGACATCCACATTGACCTATGTCTTTGTTTTAAGTTGACTTTTCACAGAGCTACTATTCTGCTTTCTGAAAATATATGAAAGTAATAACATTTTAGCAAGTCAATAAGTCAATTAGGTAATTAACTTGACCTTTGTCAAGGGACTGTCTGGGTCCGAAGCCTGGCTGCTTGTCCTCATCCATGATAAATACTTTAACTTACCAAATGTCATTGTGATTGCAGAGCTCATGAAAGTTCTGTTCTGCAACAGAGAATATATTTGGTCTGTAAGGTTTCTCCTGAAGGGACTTCAAACAGAGATCACTAATTCCCTTTCTAAAGAAAGAGTCTGTTCAGAATCTCAAATAACTTTTAGGAGAGGTGAACTGGTTGTGAGTTGATGATGAAATCATCCTTCAATGGGTTTGGTGGGGAGGCTTTGCTGAGTTACTTCTAAATGAGTTTTTTGGAAGTGAAAGAAAAATCTCCCTCAAGTTACTAGTTGAATGTTGTCTATTGAATGGTACAAGGAAATTTGCAGCTGCCTTTGTTGTGTATGGGAAAGGAAGGCAAGACAATTCTACAGGAAATTCTTATTCATCTTTGCTTACAAAACAAATTGAATAATGGAAGGAAACAATCAATACAATTTAATTAAATCTGAACCACAGCAAGGTGGCATATGGGAACCCAAACATCTGCAGAACTGTGGATGACTTTTGCAAACCTATCCCCCTCAACATCATATTACCAATTAGACTGCATACATGAGTTAATGATAAAGATTTAGTCCAATGCTTTTTGGAAGAAAATGTGACCTATGATGTGCCTTTTATGTAATATAACACCAGGATGTTGTCTTCACTCCTGGCAGCCCTCTGTGACCTTCTTTCTTTTCCTTTTCACTTCCTAGCCCTGACAAGGCTGTAATCCTCCTTTTTATACTTACTCTGTTGGTATTCTTATGAATTTATCTGCCCTATTGGCTCATTACAACCTGTACAGCTTTCAGTGTCCATCAAGGTGTGCTTAATTAAACCAATGGAAAGTCCCAAAGGGCCCTCTGTAGTTCCAAGAGCACTGATGTAGACTTTCATCTTTTACCATAATAATTTTTCAACTGATGGTGGTTTGTTTTTCTAGCAGTGCACCTGGAACCTTTCTGTACTGTTGTGATTTTGCTTCAGGAGCAGTGGAGCTCGTAAAGGTAATTCATGTGCTTGCTTTAGAGTACTTTTTAAGCCTGTAATTCAGGAGGATGCCAGGAAGCCGTCTTCATGAAAAAGAATGTGATAGCTTTGACAACTTTTAACTGAAGTTTTCAATATTCCAAAGAACAAAGTCTTACTCTGTACAAGAGGAATGAATACCATCAGTGAGCTTGCTTCTCAGCTTGAGTAAGATACCGGGCAGAATAGGCTTTTATGAGACATGTTTTACAATGCTGAATAATTGAAGAAAAAAGTTTCTTGAGTCATAGTAAATGTATTAACTACTACTGTTCTCTCTGTGCCTCTTTTCATCTTTTTCCCGACAGTCACATTCGTCCTACAATTCAGCCTGGTGTTCTGCCTTTGTTCATGATGTGTGTGATGATGCTTTACCCTATCCTTTTCCAGATGAGATCCTGGATGTCATTCTCCTTGTCTTTGTGCTCTCAACTATTCATCCTGACAGGTAAATGAGGACTAAAGGGCAAAGCAAATAGGTTAAATCTCTCTTATCCCTAGAGGTTTTCAAGAATATCAAAGGAGGATGATGAATCTTTAATTTATTATTCAGCAAGCTACAGTATTTACAAAAAAACAAGGTATTTTAAATGACGTTTTCCAGAGAGAAAAGCTGGTCAGACTAATTCATTAGTGAACCTCCTGTCTCCATCAAATAAAAGGGGCATACTGTAACTAAATACATTCCTATTAACAGTGGCAGTGCTTCAAGAAACAGACCTCTAGTCTTCCAGAAGAAAATTATTTCAGTGATCAAAGACAAGCATTCACGATTTAACACCTTACAATATGTTGATGAAGGTTTAGTTTACTGACTTTCCACGCACAAATGCTTGCATACAGGTCTTTTAAACTGAAATACATTCAGAATTCTGTAACGTGTTTGGATTTGAGGAAGTTAATCTAATTTTCATGCATAGTGTTATGTTGGGAGCTGTTAACCTTGTTATTAATAACTCTCAGTGTCTAATGAACTGAATATTATAACCATTAAAGCTGGTTGATTTTTAAAATGTCTTTTTTTTTTTTTTTTTAATGAGAAAAGTTCAAAAGAGTGCATGCAAGTTAAATGACTTGACTCTTCCTTTAACCAGATTATTTAAGAGGAAATACACGCTCTCTGTGTGATAATACACTTACTACTTTCAGAATGCCATTAAAATGGGCTTGGCAAGCAGGATAGTATTTGCCTAAGTCTCAACACTGTTTCCCTGTCTAAGTTACTAATGATTAGCTTTACAAAAAGTCTTTCCCATATAGGATATTGCTCCTTCCTGTTTGTTCAGAGATGAGCACATGAGTCATGCAAAGCCTGGATCCAGAATTCAGAAACAATTCAAGCAGTAGATTTCAGATCTCTGTAACTGCAGTGATGCTGCCAGCAAAAAATTGGAGAATAGAGGCTCATTCATTCAATCACTTAGTCTGTAAAAGCAATAATAAGATGTTCTCTCAGAATTTCAGTGTTTTCCTGCTTATCATTTGAGTACGAATGTGTTAATTTTTTCTCCCCATGTCTGTGTCCAAAGGCTGACATGGATGTTTTTGCATACCTATGTACACATACTCAAATATATTTCCTATCTGATACAATCCACTTTCCAAAAATTTGTTAGGCATTGCTATCTCAAAGAACTAAAGTGACTGCATGAAGATGAATATAATCTTTTTTGTTTAGTTTCCATTTTTCCTGAAAATGTTGAAAGTAAGAGAAGAAAAGGAAAACCAAGAGAACAATGCTGCAGAACTTAGGTTTTTTGGAGACCTGAAAAATATACATGAGGAACACATTTGTGTTCAGCACAATTGTTACTTAGTGATTTCTCCACAGCTCACGTATTTAGTTTTTGCTGATTGCTGTTTTCGTACCTCGTAGGTAACACACTTCAATTCTGCTACAAATCACCACTAAAAGTTGGTCAAAGAATTTGAAAAAATGTGAATTTGAAAGAATGTGGATTAATGTGATCCAATCCCAGTAGATCGGATCTAGCCCTATCAGATCCGATTTCTGAAAGCGCTTTCACTTTTTACGTATGTGCATTTTTTTGTGTGCACAGAACTTACACTTACATAGATAGACTGTTGTTCTGTGCGCAGTTACCTGTCTAGAGTCATTTTTTCTTAGGTTGTGTTGCCTGTTCTGTCTGTTGCAGTATACATGACTGCCTGTGTTCAGCATTAGCAAAGAGGAGAACTATTAAAGCATTTGACTTCCTTTGAGGAAATTATATGTTCACAAAGTGTATGCTTACTTTATTTATTTAGATATGCTGCTGTTTTCTGCTGAATTACTTCCTAATCATGTCTCTTAAAAATCAAGGCAGGATATCTGCACTGCAGTTGCTAAGGACTGAACTGTGCTAATGGCTGGGTTTTGAAGGGGTAGGCCACCTGAGAGACAGGCATAGTATAAGGATTTTCTATTAGTAGGCAGTAATAGTATGCTGATTTTGCATAGTTAAGGATGACTAGCTCTTCTTTAGCTCTTTTAAGATATGAATAGAAAAGCATCCTGTCTTTCTTATTCATTCATTTACCATTCTCTCTGGCTCCATGTCTTCTTCGTGATCTGTGTCCATGTGGAAACGAAGGGTTGAATTAGGCTCGTGGACTTATCTGCCTTGCAGCCTGCAAAGCGAAAACTGCCTTTTTTGGTCTGTCATAAATGTGGAAAACATGATTTCCACGTTCATGAAATGTTCTGAAAGAGTGAGGCAAACTGAACGCATTATTCATTAGTAAAATATTTTGCAAATACAAAGAAATGCCAATAAAAATGCCCTTGCCTAGTGAAAGAGCACTGTGTGTTACTTGCTCCTGTCATAGATACTGACATATAGATACTGGCTGACGTGGTCTTGGTAAGGAAGAGCTGATCATAGATATGATCAAGACACACAAACTTGTCAGCATTTTGGAGGATGCAGACTTTCTCCTCTGATTTGCAAGAACTCTGGATGGAATCCTACTGAATTCCTCTCCTGAGCTACTACTCATGTTTGTCTTTACATTCTCTATCATTAGGTATTCAGATACTGACTGTGTGCATGATCAATACCTCAATAAAGAAATCAATTTGTATCAGCCTTCCATGTTCCTGTTTTTACTGTGTACTGTAAAAAGGCTTAGTCTAGTTCACCAGTGCCCATAGCTAACTGTTTGTTGTTGTGTGTATATGCCTGACTCATATGGCATATATTTGGAAACTGCGTTTTAATCTATACCTGAGATTCTATTGAAGCAAAGGCCAGGGATTCATTTTTTCTTTTGAGTTTGTATTCTCTAATATTCTCATATAAATATTTTTTTTCTTGGTAGTTGGTGTATTTTTTTTCTCTGATTGTTTTTGTAAAGAGTTCTTCCTATTTGCTAATGTTTGGCCTTTTTGTAGTAAATATATAGGTACTCCTCAGTGTAGCCTCAGAAATCTGTGTATTTTCCAAGTATCTAGGAAAAAAGAAACTAACATTGACATTGGCAGATCTCTCCAATATCTCATCTATTTTCTAAGGATGCAACAGGTTGTAAATAGATTGGTTAAACTACTGAAACCTGGAGGGATGCTGTTATTTCGAGACTATGGAAGATACGATACAGCTCAACTTCGTTTTAAAAAAGGTAATTCCTGAATGCTTTTGTAGCTTACTGTTTATTTTTAGTGTTTTTTTGGGGAAAAAAAACCCATAAACATCACTTTTTTGTTCAAATTTCTTAGGTCATTGCTTGTCAGAAAATTTTTATGTACGAGGAGATGGAACCAGAGTATATTTCTTTACTAAAGGTATGAAATAGCTTATTTGTATAGAAAGTCTTGAGTGTCTCTCAAGATTATTTGGGTTATAAAACCTCATCTTTAAAAATAAATTTAAAGAAGGCTTTTATGAGCCTCTTTTCTAATCCTTTGCTTTTACAAAACCCAAAGCTAAGAGTTGTGAGGAAGTAATTCCTTTTACATGTGTATGCTCGTTGCATCTGAGGTTCTACAAAATTTCTTTCAGACATCACTGAAATTTCTCTTGGAATAAGCATCTTGTGTCTAATGATATTCTCAAGTTCTGTTATTGAAAGAATAAGAAATACATTTAATGATGTGTCAATGTATTTTAAATGTAATTTTAAAAGTTGAGAAACATGCTTGGAAGGATAGCTAGCTAGTAGCAGTGCTCAGATATCTTGTTCTGCCGTGTCTGAGTTCCTGGACTGCTCCTTCTGCAAGAAATGTGTTGTGATGAATACTACTGCTCATTGCCATTCCATTCATTCAGTTTTATTGGCAACCAGCTTAGACTGGTGCAGTATACCCCACCTGCTGACAACTAATTTTATTTTGTTTTTATTTATTACAAAATTTCTTTGTTTGAGAAAACAGAAGAGGTACGGAACATGTTCAATTCGGCTGGATTAACTGAAGTACAAAATTTAGTTGATCGTCGATTACAAGTAAATAGGAAGAAAAAAGTAAAAATGCAGCGAGTTTGGGTACAAGGCAAATTCCAAAAACCATTGCTGCTATCTCTTAATAATCCTGAAGAAACCACCAGTAGGCATCCTTATGGATAACTGTACTGTTAACTTAAGAAAAAGAAACAGATCTGAGTAAGTATGCTTCATATAAATCTTGTGTTAGCCTCTGAAAAAGAGCAATACATTGAATTGAAAAGCTTTTCCTGATATTTTGTAAATGTGTGTATTTGAAAATGTTCTGAAAAATATGTGCATTTCTAACTCCTTTATGCATGCAATGAAAGGAGATGCATTCATCTAGTCATATCTGTGACCAGGCATTTTATTTCCTCTCATATGAATAGCAACTAAGTATAAGCATATGAAATTTCACAGTATGCAAGATGTTCTTAAGTTTTAATGAAGCAGAATTGTTTCTGAGATTTTCAGAATGTCTGCTCTCACTCTCACTACAAGCTGTGCTGTGTTAATTTCTTCTAACCACTGTGTGTCTTTCAACTGTATTTCCTCTTTTGGGGGAAATTCCTTGTTACATAAACAGCGAAGAAAAGATCTTTTTCCAATCTGCATGAAAGTTATTTCATACTAACTGTGTGTGATATGCATAGGTATCAGATTGTCATCCTCTACTGTGACTGACTTATTCCTCTGAAGTTTCCACTTTCCATCTACATGCTTATCAGAAACAGGCCAAACAGCTAAGTGACGTGTTGTATTTCTACTAGTACTATAGGTAGTAAGCTGAAAATCATGTAGAAAAGAATGACCACAATGCCAAAATAGTGCTGACCACACCTCTTTTCATGCAATTCAGGATATAGTTAGCCTCTGTGGCTGCAAGCATGCACTGTTGTGGGCATGATGGTGATCGGTTAGTGGTTGGACTTGATGAACTTGGAGGTCTTTTCCAACCTTAACAATTCTATGATTCTTTTGGCTCACATCTACCAGAATACTCATGTCCTTCTCTACAGGGCTTCTCTCAGTGAGTTCTTCTCCTGGTCTGTACACGTATATGGCCTAAGTGCCTTGGCCTCATTGAACCTCATTAGGTCCAAATGGACTCACCTTTTGAGCTTGTTCAGGTCCCTTTGGATGGCATTCCTTTCTTCTGTTGTATCAACTGCACCACTCAGCTTAGTGTTATCAACAGAGTGAGGATGTGCTCAGTCTCACTGTCACTGGTCAAGATGTTGGAATGCTTTTTATAGATCCTGTGGAGAAAGAGGACTACACTGGTATGTCAAGTGCTTTTAAGGTGAAAACCAAAATGCAGTCGTTGCTTTCAGATGTACACGGTGGTGCTGAGGCAATTGAGCTACTACTAAAATATACTATTTCTGACGTTGAAATAAAATTTTATAGAAGGAGGAGAGGGTTAAGGTTAGGAGAGGATGAGAAACAGGTGAATGGATAAAATAATTGTGTTACTTCAACAAGGATATAGAATTTATATAACCTGTAACATGCATGCAGTTTTGAGTCCTGTTAATACAGTTACATTCTCAAAGTCTCTTGTCTTTTGTCTGAAGGGTAAACGTCACACCTAACAACCTGTTGTTTTGGAAGTTGCTAGATGCTGTACTAAGTAAAGCTGGTTGTCTTCTGGAAAGAAAGAAATTGTCTAAATTTACATGCTAGGTATTTTCATCCCTTTTGAAAAGATGAAGGACCTGCATAATTTCCAAAAACCCAGTTATGTTTCAAGAATGAGGTGCAATAACAGGCTTCAAGGGTAGGATCTGATCCTACGTTTCTTGTGTATTCTAAACTCCCTCTAGAATAAGAAACTTGTTTATGAATTAAGTGATTTAGGAAGCTTGGGTTAGAAAGGTTTTTATTTAGCTTTGGCATCCTGTAATCTGGAATAAGTGCTTTGTGGTGTAGATAATACGAAAGGTTAAAATACAGCTGTTTCTTCAAACTACCAGTTGTAGGCTTCTGCAGCATGTAAATTAAAATCTGCTTATATTTTAAAGAAATTGCTACCCTGTTCAACTTGAATTTTTAATTGTGACTTTTGAGTGTCCATAGCTCTGAGTCTTCTATGATGCATTTTCAGTTGCAGAATTTACCAGGAGGTGATGGTGATGATAAGCTCCTGAGCATTGTACAGTCTTATTCATGTGTATGATTTAGATTTTCCATATGTAGAGGCTAATGAAATGTTTGCTTTGTCTCTTGCACTGATATGTTGATTCTGGCAAGATTTTAATATGCTATGTTGTTATTTTAACAAAAATATTACATCTGTAGAAACCAAACCCTAAATTCTTGTATGGCCTTGAGCAAAATTTAGTGTTTCTCTTCCAAGTCTTGCAGCTCAAGTATTGGCAATCAGTTTTAGAAGAATGGTGTAATGCTGTTTGTTCTAGAAGTAGTAAGATCAGCTACTATTTGTAAGAGTGTGTATAATATCTGCTGCAGAGAGAATTGTAACTAGGCTGAACTATTGTGAGACTGATGCAAGGGGAAATGGACAGTATCATTTCTGATAAGTCCTACCCCCAGCGCAAATGTTTTTCTGCATTTTGGTTTGTGAAATTTTGCTTTTCAAAAAGCTTAACCAGGGACAAATTTTTAAAATATTTTCAAAATATGTGTTATTTTTTTAGCTGCGAGAACCAATACTATAATATCCCCATAATATAACAATAGAATTACTGAAATGAAGAAGAGAACTGCAGACAACTATATAAAAAAACAAGGTTACGGGAGAAAGAAAAATAAGGGCATTGCAAATAGAAAGTGCCCAGTGTAGAATAAGGTTGTAGATTTCACTTTTGAAATCGGAAATTACTCCTTTAATCAGATATATGCCTGGACTCTCTAGTTACATAAATTTATGTAAGTATGTTATAGGAATAGTAAACATTTTTATTGCAAATGATTGTGGATGGGCTTTTGGTGGTTGGTTTGCTTTTTTTTTTTTTTTTTTTTTCTGTTTAGTAATGCTTCTTGTGCTTGTGGTGGTAAAGCACACTTGTGATTATATGTAAATACAGAAAGATGATCCTGAGTTTTGGCTTTACTGACTTTGGCTTCCTTTATTAATAGAGTGTATCTTTTGCCCACCTTCACTGATATGCATTACATTTATGTATGAGATTTATGAGAATTGCACTTATTAGTTGTTCTTTTATATCACGTAGTTTGTAAGCAAGTACAAGACAGTTACATACTGTATTAAAAAAAAAAAAAGGCCAACTTTCTTTCCTATGTTATTTCTGAGGTATCTAGTCAGCAGCAGTTCATGTAATTTTTTTTTTTTCCCCCAGCAAAACCGAGGCAGGTGGTTGTGCAATATCTACAAATCCACCAAATCTGAAGAGGACAAAGAAAATGCAGGGCAGGCAAGGAAACAGCTGGAGCTCTAGACACAGGTTTCTTCTTGTACTGGAAACCGTTTTGTTTCTGTTCTGTGTTTGGGTTGCATCTCTGCTATCTGCAGATTCTACTGTTTTATGATGACAAAAAAAACTGTAACAGGTTATCCTGAAATTCATATTAAAACATATACCAAATACCAATGGAGTCAATTAGCATAAATTTTTCTACTACACTTTGATTTGTGATGTGGTCCTCATTCTCTTCTCTGGTGTGCTCTTTGTTATATTGACATATCCTTCATTTCCTCTTTTTCTTGTTTGTGGTAGGCAGTTGTTTCCACGGGAGAGTTTTATCTCCTGTACAGAACAGAGTGTTTTTTCTTTCTGTATGAATGCAATGAGTAGTGTAGATGCTCAGCTGGTGCAGCAGTACTGGTTGCTTTTTATTAGTTTAAACTAAAATATGCCTTAGTCTATGGCAGCAATAACAGTAGATGTTCTTGCATCAACTATACTTCTGTCTAATGGGTAGCAGAACAGCCTTAAGAATAAACCATGTATATTATTAAAAATACTTAAAATTTCAATTGTCAATAATGTAGGTAACTTTGATTTTCAATACCTAAATTTTTTTACATGCTTGGAACAAAGACATTATATGTGAGTTTTTTTGTTTTGTTTCATTTTGGTTTTTTTTTTTTTTTTTTTTTTTTTACATCAAGGATATGCCAGTTGCCCCCTTCTGCCAGAAACTGGACAAGTCTGTCTTCCAAACACAATTATCATTAGTATATGCTCAGTAAGAATTACTTGGGTTGTTATGGGCATCTCTAGCAGGTTCTTTGCTGTACCTCTCATTTGGGCATGCCTGGCCTTGGTACTTAAACTGAGAAGGGGACCATTGTGCCCCCTTTGCTGATAGTGAGCAAAAAAAAGAAGAGCTTGACTTTCTGAAAAACAAGAGTCAGGCAGGAGGGTAGGAAGATGAGGATGGGGCTCAAAGGCAGACAAGAAAAGGAATCTTTCCTCTGAAAAGTGGCATAAGAAGTAAGCTTGGGTAAGCTAACAAAACGAGAATAATGAGATGTAGAACTGAATGGGAAAAAGCAAGAGAACGTAACATCATGGGCAACACGCAGGAAGTGTGTAACAAGGCAGTGAGGAAACTGGGCCTAGGAAGTAGTGAAATAAAGTGAAGGATGTGAGGGGAAAAAAGGGACTGATCTGTCATATGAATAGTGAAACCTGAGTAAAAAAAGAAATTTGAATAAGGATGTTAGGTGGAAAGACCTATCTTCAAGATCTGTTTCTTCCAAATGCTACTATATTTCCGTATCTTCATGGAATATTGTGGGCTTTGTCTTTCATCCAAACACACACAGTGCATTCCAGTTTATTCCAGGCTCCATCAAAAGAGGGGTGGCCAGCAGGGACAGGGAGGTGATTGTCCCTCTCTACTCTGCTCTTGTGAGGCCCCATCTGGAATACTGCATCCAAGTGTGGAGCCCCTAGTACAAAAAAGAGAGGGAGCTGTTGGAGAGGGTCCAGAGGAGGGCCACGAAGATGATCAGGGGACTGGAGCGCCTCTCCTATGAAGACAGGCTGAGGGAGCTGGGCTTGTTCAGCCTGGAGAAAAGAAGGCTGCGGGGGGGCCTCATTGCAGCCTTTCAGTACCTAAAGGGAGCCTATAGAGGGGAGGGAAATCAACTCTTTGAAAGGGTTGATAACTGCAGGATGAGGGGAGATGGTTTTTAGTTGAGGAAGGGGAGACTGAGGTTGGATGTCAGGGGGGAATTCTTTACAGAGAGAGTGGTGAGGTGCTGGAACAGGCTGCCCAGAGAGGTTGTGGATGCCCCGTCCCTGGAGGTGTTCAGGTCCAGGTTGGATGGGGCCTTGGGCAGCTGGTCTGGTCTAATGTTGAATGGGGAGGTTGGTGGCCCTGCATGTGGCAGGGGGGTTGGAGATTCGTGATCCTTGATGTCCCTTCCAACCTGGGCCATTCTGTGATTCTGCGTGATTCTGTGTTTGCAGCAGCACAGGTAGGTTTATGATACACCTGCTTTTGCTTTTTCCTTAGGGAACTATGTTTTTACCTTCTTTCAAGTAGAACTCTAAAGTGACAGAAGATACAATCCTCACCTCCTGGGAAGCGAATACAAAAGAATAACACTAGTCTGCATACCCTGACTGTGCTCAATCAAGGTAGGACAATTAAATTTACTCCATATGTTCTAAAGTTGTCCCATTTAAATCAAGACCATAGCTGCAGATTATCACCTTGAAGTGCCTCCCAATCTCAGTTTCTGTTATACCTGCATCTGTTCAACAGAACTTAATTGAATTTGTATGAACTAGAAATACAGCTTAAAAGAAAAACAGCAGAATAGTCTTTAGGCTTTATCTAAGATTGCAACAGTTTAGAGAACAAATCTGTTTGTTATTTTAGAACAATAGACACCAAAATCTCACAGTTATAGAGTAGCACTTATCCAAAGGGCTGGAAATGTAGGTAGTTCTTTGAAGTATAATATACACCATCAAGAATATTAGCGTGATAAAGCTTTGAATGCTCACTGTTTGCCAAAAGTATCTTATCAGTTGTTGCCATGAAATGGGACTAAGCAACAAGACATTCGCATTTTCAGAGTATGCTTACTTGGTCAGGTTACTGCAGTTTTGAAGGGAATGTGAAAAGTAAGAACACAAGTGAATAAGTTCAGTGTCTTCTAGAACAAATTGATGGCATGCAATTTAATACATGCTCAAAAAATAGTCTGAGTATTCACATGTATTGATGCTAAACAAACCTTAAGTTCATTAAAAACACAAACTTGGTGTATGCTTCTAGTTATAAAAACAAGCAAAATATAAAGATATCTAAATAGGACACAAAAATAGAATGCTATACAGCTACTAAGTAAAATCTTCTCTGTAGTATGTCCTGTTCAGATAGAAAAATGTTGTGTAAATAGATGGTGAAAATTCCTAGAAACATGAAAAAATTCCAGATGAATGCAGGTTAGGGAAATGAATGATAAGCGATATGAGGATGGCATAGAATGTGGTATTTTAGTAATTAGAAGGTACAGTTCACCCCTTTACACCACACAAAATCACAGTAAATTACTCAAATTAGCAGGCATCAAAGCTACATTGATAGAATAAATATATGTGGTGTATCCTGCTATGTACACTACGAGTAGGTAAGGAATCATAATGTTCATAGGGCTAAGTGATCAATGGGTTATTAAAAACCACCTTCGCTAGATCTTCCATTTTTAGTTTTATATTGTGTGAGTGAAAGGGAAAATCTGCATTTACTATTTAAGACTTCAAAAAACGTTGAACAAGAAAACAAAATGAACTACCAAGCAGGCTAAAGTGTTTCTTTTTACCTTTCGTGAAATCCTAATATTGCTCAGCAACAGAACTGAAGAATAAACCTGAATACTAAATTGGTTGAGTAGGCACACTTTATTGAATCTAGAGAAGATAGAGGGAGAGAAATAAGTAGGAAAAGAACCAAAAAGGAACGTACTAATTGGCATGACAACATGTAGTTCCGTAATAGCAGCTACTATTTTATATAGGATGACACGTTCAGTGCAGTGTCTGAGACATCACTCAACACACTTTACTTTCACTTACGACAGTTTCTCTTTAAATTGGTATTTAGGCTAGGCGAAAGCCAAGTAAACGTAACTGGTTTGCTAAAAGAACATATGATTGAATAATTACACTTGGATCAGACTGGCTGTAATGGAGGGCTTCAATGCCGAGCCAACATGCTTTTTTTTTTTTCTTTAGCATCAGGCACACTCTGTCCTCCATTTCCTCCCAAATAGCAACTGCTTCTCAAATGGAGGAACCCTAGTCCTTCATTCTACATTAAGGAAAGCTTTGCCATTTGAAATGGCTCTGTTTGCTGCATATCCTATTAAGCACAGTAGTCAAATGTCATTCTGAAGAATCGGGCAGCTTAGTTTCCAATGACATTGATTACATTCAACAGTGAGAGGATGGGTGGTGGAGAATGGTGGGTGGAGAAGCGAAAAGACAGTGCGAGGCATTTTGAGGAGGTTTGTACTCCAGCACTCACATGTGGGTGGCAGTCCATCTGAGATGCAGTTTTTTCTCTGAAGCAGAGCAGAGTTGAATTCTCTACACTCATTTCAGGTTTAATCTCCATCCTCCCAAACAAGCAGTACAGCCTTTAGTCACACGTGTGTTTATTTAAAATGAAGTGAAAATGACAGTAGCAAGAAGCTGAATCTTTAGAATGGTTTTCACAGAGAGACCCTGGCATGTTAATCCCTGGCAGAAATGGGTGTAATTCTCAATGACAATGCTAAGCTTGTTTGCACAGAGGCTGAGCTAAACCCAAGGATGATAAACAATGCTGTTTAAGATCAATCATTTAATCCTTTTAAAATTTTTGTCATCTAACAACCAAAGATGTTTGTGTTAATAAAAGATGGTGTGACAAAGCTATGATTGTCACTGAGCATGATTTGCTTTGTGATAAAAAAAAAAACAACAACAAAACACATACATTGATAATCTTATTCCAGATCAACGTTTCATCTTGTTATTCAAGAGCGAATATTAGTGAGTTGAATAAATAATTGGCAGTAGTTACCAAACTGTGAAGTAAGGTCTGTTTTTTAAATTGGAAAAAGTGTGAGCTTGCTTGTACAAGGAGAGAACACTAAAATCACGCTGGCAGTAAGTGTGAAAAGCAGATGAAAAAATGCAGCAGCATGGCAGTCTGAAAAGCATTTAAGTATTATAATATAAGATTTTTAATCAGCTACTAAACCACACTCTTTTCTTGCATCAACTAGCTTGAGGCAAAGTATCAAAGACAGTAAATATTTATTTTATTTTGTGGCAATTAATATTTAGTAAAAGGCCTCAAGGTTAAATCTGAAACTTTGACCCAGATTCCTAACGTCATTTATGTCAGTGTAAGACCAGAAGACTCTGAGTCTGTGGAGTTGCTTCAAGATGGAGATTAGTTGTTTTCAATTAGAATCCAGATTAACTGGTGCCTAGTATTCCTCATAAAAATAAAAATGCAAATACTGTAATACAAAAATGTTCCGTCAGTAAGAACATCTACGTTAATCATTAAAAATTCAAGATCGGTTCTGCAGAGACAATAGCTTTTGTTCAGTGCTCATTATTTTGCTCTGAGGGCT